GCGCACACACATACACACATGCGCGTGTGTGCACCAGGTATAGGGAAGTGGCTCAGTGGGTAACAGTGCTTTCTGCACAAGCATGAAGACTTGAGTTCAGATCTCAGCATGAACAATAGAAACACAAGAAACCAAGCTTCCCGACATGTACCCCATTGCTGGGGCCAGGTGAGGGGAAGAGTGAAAAAAGACAGCAGAGGTAAGCAGATCACTAGATCTTGTTGGCCACCTGCCTAGCCGAAATAGTGGACTCCAGGTTTGGTGAGAGACCCTGTCTCAATGAACTAAGATGGAGAGACAAAGGAGGATAAGGATGCTCTGAGTGCACACATGGGCACTGGTACCTGCAGTTACGTATATACCATATGTATATGCATGCACACAATAAACAATAATTCCATGCCAGGCTTTACATATGAGAGATAACATGCAGTTCTTGTCTTTAAGGACTTGGGTTGCCTCACATAATATGTTTTCTAGTTCCATCCATTTTCCTATAAATTTCATTTTTATTCATAGATGAAAAAAATATGCAGTTATATAAAAAATAGTTTTTAAAAAAATAAAGTCTTTAAAGAGACAGTAAAGGTAATATAAAAAATAAACCACGTAAAGATGAATATTACACAGAGAATCTGGATTGTGTTGTCTTTGGGAATTTTAGCTGCAGAAAGACATTTGATTGTAAAAGCTAATATGTATATTTTAGTTTAAGCCAATATGTATATTTTAAAGATACCTTGACTTCAAAATTTGGATATAAGCATGGGGCGTTTACCCACCACCCCCACAGTTCCCCAGAGTTTTCTTGAGTGCAATCAGCAGGAAATATTAGATAGAAGGATTTATTGCGGAGAATATCACGGAGATAGACAGATAGAAAATAAAGGATAGCCTCGAGAGGACCTGGAACCTATTCCAACGGGCCCCGACTGTCTCTGGCCCAGGGTTTTTATAGAGACGCCAAGGGGGTGGAGCGAAAGACCTCCTCCCCCAGCACAGCCAAGTGCAGACCATCTCAGACACCTGCATTCAGGCCCGTGGTCCTTATCATCCTCTATTCGGACCTGCTGGGTAAAGCCACGAGGAACCCGAGAATGGGCTCCCACATATAAGGATATGTTGCTTTGGAAAGGAGGCTCTGCTTTTGTTTTCACAGAAAGCCAGAGGCTATGGATTTGTTCCAGATTAAGATACATCAGGTTTGACCTGTCAAGACCCCTTGTCTCCAATGACACTATGGCCCAAATGATCCAACATCTAGAACAGTTTCAAGGCAACTGGCTCAGAGAATACAGCCTAATGGACTACTCCATAATTCTAAAATTTTCATTATGTCCCCATAAGAATACAGCGCCCTCATCCAGCAGGAACTAGTATGAGAAGCTACGCCCAAATTCCCAAATATACCAAGCTGGCTTTGAAGATGGAATTGGCTCACTCCTTCTCTAAACCCAAGCATATTGCTAAAAAAAAAATTGAGAGATTCTTTTGTCTTATATCAGAAGAGCCCTCTGGTGTGGGACAGAGAAAAACCAATATTTTTATTTAAAACAGGTTGCTTATAAATGTAATCTCTTTCTAAAGAAAAAAGGGGACAGTATAGATAATGATAGGGTGAAAGGGTAGATTATTAAACCTACTTTTAAAGAGCAACTTGTTTAAAAGGCTTTACATTGGTATAGATTTTAGTTTATTGATGCAAATTTAAAGTTGGTTTTGTTTTTATATATATATAAGAACAAAATATATATATTTGAAATATATATTTTATTTTATAATATTTTATATTTATATATAAATATAATATATATATTTCTACTCTTGTTTAAGATATTATGTTTATGTAACTCATTTAGATTGTAATGGATAACTAAGAAATACAGATTAATAATTAGTCTTCTATGATAGTCAAACTTATAGTCATGTTTTCTAGGTATATATAGATATAATTCAATTAGGTAGGTAATTTTCAAACACTTCAAAGACCTACAGAATATGACATTCAAAATATTTTTAAAAATTTAGACTTTCTAGACAGTGAGACACGTCTGCTCCTGGCAGCACTGATTTACTTCATAGAGGAGGGTGGGCATTGAAGACACTCCATATGGAGTTTATCTTCTTCTTGGCAAAAATAGTGGGCAAGAAACTGTTCTTGCCTATACTGCTTGATCGACTGGACATGCAGGACCCATAGAAAGATGACCACTAAACTTTGCTTGACAAAATGGTCCTTCAGGTTCCTGTTTCACAAAGGAAACTGCCAGACATTCTACAGGACACAGAAAAAAGTGACTGAGAGACTCTAGGCCTGTGGGCTAAAAACAGATGCCCCAACTTTACAGGACTTTGGATGACTGTCCAGGCTGCCAGCTGTCTCTGTCTACTCTCTCAATACTCCTGAAAGTTGCTTGTGTCCTTCTCCCGTTTCTCAGATAATATTATATCCTTCTGAGGTCTTTGATGTAGTTGAAGACTAGATAGTTATAATTTCCTTAGTCATGATAAAAGATAAGTTGGATATAAAACCTTAGATTCACAAATATAGAATAGATAGGATATCTTCTTTAATTCTGCCAAATACAAATAGACTAGATATTATAAATAGACTAGATATTGTAACTGTAATTCTTGCTTTATAATTGTTTTGTTATATGTAATTTTACTATGTTAAAGTTAAAACCTTCCTTTTTGAAAAAAACAGAAAAGGGGAAGTGCTGTGGGATGTCCTGTATGTTGTGAATATATGTTGCTATGATTGATTGATAAATAAAATGCTGAAATTGGCCAGTAGCCAGGCAGGAAGGATAGTGTAGGCAGGACAAGGAGAGAAGAGAAGGCTGAGTCAGAAGACGCTGCCAGCCGCCATGAGGAGAAGCATGATATAAGATACCAGTAAGCCACGAGCCATTTGGCAAGTTATAGATTAATAGAAATGGTTAAGATATAAGAACAGATAGCAAGAAGCCTTCCACGGCCATACAGTTTATAAGTAATATACGTCTCTGTGTGTTTACTTGGGGGACGCTTGTGGGAAAGATTTGTCCTGACTGCTGGCAGGCCAGGACATAGGAAAACTTCAGCTATAAATGTACCACATTTTCACTATCCACTGGCTGACGGTCATATAAGCTGACTGCATTTTCTTGCTGTTACTGAAAAGAGCTACAATAAACATGGGTGTGCAAGGGTCTCTGTTAGAATAAGGACTCCTTTGGGTTTATTTTGATTTTTTTTAGTGTATATCCATTGTTCAAAGGAATGGGCTTCAAATGACATTTGTTTTATTGCTTCCTCTAATTTCAATGTTTCCTAAGTATGTTTGCCAAAGTGATATTACACTATACATGTTAGACATATTAACTTTGAGGTTCCTAGAAATAAAGAATTTGGCTATCAGCAGAGAAATGGATCTTAGAGATGTAAATTTGTGAGTCATTGATATGATTATTGAGACTGGAGTAAGTATAGAAATTAAAGACTATAGAATACCAACTTCTAAAGGAGACAGACAAAAATCAGGCTACAAAAATGGGAAACAAGGAATGAAGGAAAGGGAAGAACCAAGGCTGGCGATTTCAGGAGGGGCAATTTATGGGGTTAGATGTGGCTTGTACAGTCAGACTTTAAATCATTTGAAGTGCATGGCTACCGCTGCTGAAATGTCACAGGGCAGTCAGCACTGCAGCATAGTGGACCGTGCGAAACAGAGGCAAGGGCATGAACAAGCTCTCCCACACCAACGCTTTCTGTTCTTCGTACATAGGAGACAGCATGCTTCCTTTACGATAAATCCCTTTTCCACAAACACACACAAAATTGCCACAGGACCTATAGCTAGGAGAGATTTGGGCAAATTACTTGAATTCCTAGTAAGAAGTGGGTAGGGGAGGGTGGATGGCCATCCCAAGACATCAAGCCTAATATGGAACATGCTCCAGAACCTAACAGCTCCTATCTAATATTAAGTTAGTTACCTTGCAAATGGAATGTGTGCTATCTGTTTTTAGTACTTATTTTCTAATTTAAAATGTCACTGTCTTTTTTACCACTGGATTTTACAATATAAAACACAATGGTGAGCAGTCTACAAGCTGTTTTGATGAGTTCTATCAACATTCAGACAAAACAAAGGACAAGTTTGTGTGCCCCAAACCTGTTTGAAGTGTTTGCAACGTGCTTTTCTCTTGAGCTCTTAAACTTTATGTAGAGGCACTTCACTTTTTAAAATCAAGTTTGTTCTTTCATGTCTTAGCCCACAATAAAACTTTTGTGAAGAAAATTCTAGCCCAGCGATGGTGGCACACGCCTTTAAATCCCAGCACTCGTGAGGCAGAGGCAGGCTGAATTCGAGGCCAGCCTGGTCTACAGAGCAAAGTCCAGGATGGCCAGGGCTACACAGAGAAACCCTGCCTTGAAAAGAAAAACAACAACAAAATAGAAAATTCTGAAAAGAAATATGATCATTTGAAAAGAGCACAAAGTAATATCTGTTTTAAAATTAGAAATAATTTGTTTTATTCTTTCAAGTTAGCTGAGAATTTTTTAAGACTTAGAAATGTGACATTTTATAATAATATGAGATTTGATTTCTCAACTTTTATCTAAGAAACAGAGGTGCAGTTGTAATGTGTCAATTACTCTTATCCTGCTATATTCTTTATATCCCCACAAGTTTCTCTTAAAAAAAAACCAAATAAAATGAAAATTATGAGGAATTCCTGTCCGTTTTCATCTCCCCACATTTGGTGATGCCTCTTTTGACTTCCACTTGTCCAGAAGTCACATTCACGATCTCCCAGGCCTCTGTGCTCAGCTCCTCCCCAGTGTAAGAACATGTCATATGTCAGAAAATCCTTGTGGGCCACACCCTTTGTTTTGGAAAGTACTTCCCCATCAGAAGAATGGATATAATATCAAATAAATACATAAAACAAACCACTTTTCTCTTGTATATAGCTTTGTTCACAGCTAACACATTTCCCCCTTTATCACAGGTACCAGAGATTTGAAAAGGCCTTTCTCTTAGCTGTTGACATTGGTGCTCGTGACCTGTTTATGGTAAGTCATTCCCAGAGATGACTTTTGTGCTTTCAGTTCTAAGGTTGAGTAAGTTGTCAGCTTTTGTGACCATTCAAAGGGATGAGTGTCATTTGTGGCCTTAGACACATGGAGGGAAGGCATTGTTAATGCCACCGTGGCTCTCAGCACGGCCTTCGTGAAGCTGGTCATAGCTATCTAGTATCTTTTGACTTGGTGACATTTTCCTTGCCAGGGCCAAAGGATCTTTTATGTTTTCAAAGCATTTATAATTCTTGAACTTTTCTCCCCATGAACCTTGATGTGCAGGATTGACACCTTTCCATCTATTAAGTTTAAATGTCTTTCTAATCCATGCTCTGAGCAAGCTTGCAGCTACAGAGGCCAGGCAACAGGGGGAAATGTGTCTCAGAGATCTGGACGTACTACTGGTCCCTCAGCTTCAGCGAGAAGTAAGAAATCATGAACGCTTTACTTGTGTTTTGGCAGAACTAGAGAGGAAAGTGAATCTACAGGTGGTGAGTCCGCCACGCCACGCTCGTGCCCTGCTGTTTGTCACTTGCCCCGGGGTGACATTGCCCAGCTTCTTACAGACACTGTGCCCACTGTCAGGTTCCTGTCTGTCTGTTTGTTTTTGAGATTTTAACTTAGTTACACTTCTCTCTTCCTTTTCCTCCCTCCAAACCCTCCGATGTCCCTCCCACATACCCCACCACCACCACCCTGCCTCCTGTCTTATGAGAACTTTCACCCTGTGAGGTCAGATGAATGAAGTGGCAATTCTATTGTTATCAATGAAACAGTAAGACACGGGTTTTTACTGTTCTTTTATACCATGAAGATACTGTCTAAGTGTTGTTGTTTCCTTAGGTCATTTGTGTTTCAAGTGAATCTTGTATTAAAATTCTGAATTACAGATGACAAAATTCAAATTTCATATTTTCAAATCAATTGTACATACATTAATCATGAAAAAATAGCAGTTGCTTTCGAAAGGATAGCCACTGTCTTTCCCGTCTTCACTTCGCCCTCCACTTGGGCAGGCGTGTCAGTACACTGACAGGTTTACCGGTTTCTCCACAGTCTGCCGCAGACAGCACCATGTCAGAGCTCTGATTCCCACCTGACTGACCTTTCTTCTCTCTGTCATCCCACCTCTGCGGCTTAGTATTCCAGTGGAGGTGTATCGCCCTCCACGCTCCCCTTCCTCTCCCAGTGCCCCAGTCCTTCCCACTCCTCTTCCTCCTCCTTCTACAGGGTCTCAGGATGTAGCTCTGGCTGGCCTAGAACTCACTCTAGACCACCTCAGTGCTGAGATTAAAGGCACTGGCCACCAGGCATGGCCTGTATTTCTTGTTTTGTAGTGAGAGTTCCATTGGAGCGGGGCGGGGGGCAGGTAAGAACTACGATTAGAATTGTGATGTTTTTTGCTGGGCAAAATTTCTCTAAGAATATTGTATTCTGTAGTTTATTCCTTTATTAATTAATAAATATAATTATCAAAACCACCTTCTAAACTATTTTTGTATTTGTTTCAGCATTTTAATCTGTTTAACCCAGTACGAATTTAGAGAAAGTCTTTGTGTTCCTTCAAATCTCCTTAATCCAAGAGATTTTCTCCTGATGGGTTAAAATAGAGGAGAGGCTGACTCGACTCAGTTTGGAAAAGTACAGACGTTATTCGGAGTGCACATCTTCACTCCTCATCTAAGACATTGCCTTTAGCCAAGGTCTATTTTAAGGGATCTCAAAATACAAAGTGTTGAGGCCTCAGAGCTCTGTTTAAGTTTATGAAAGTACTGTGTACTTTTTGTACATTTGAGAGTTGATATTGAAATTATCTAAAAGAATTTATCATGTTTTCGTATAGATTGATTCTTAGTGTTTAAATTTCATCTGGCCAGAGGTTTATAGCCTATATTCTAAGAAATATTACCTCTTTTGAAAAATGAAAGTTTATAAAATAAGCAGGATTATCTCTACTTGCAAAGGATTTATTATCTTTAAACCATCTCTTCCTTAAAGATTAAAAATAATACCAAAGAGACCGCAAAAAAAGAAGTCTCTCTGGCTGAGGACATAGCTCAGTTGGCAAAGTGTTTGTCACGCATGCTCAAGGTCCTGGGTTTGATCTCCATAACTCATAAACAAGGTACGGTGGCACACTCCTGTAATCCCACCACTTGTGAGGTAGAGGCAGGAGGACCGGAAGTCAAGCTCATCCTTGGTTACAAAGCAATGTTGAGGCCATCTGGGCTACATGAGACTGTCTCAGAGCAACAACAACAACAAAACACCACACAAAGTATCAGCTAACCTGAAAATAATGCTTTTCACGTTAGTGTCTGGTGGTGGTGAACAGATCGAGGTATACGACATGACAAGAAACGTGATGTGGCTGGAACCAGGTGACTGAGACTAGAGAGGCCCAGTGTGAGCTAAGGGTTAGACTTTGTCTTTAAAGCTGTGGGAACTTGATGAAGGGTTTGAATCAGAGGAGTGATACAATCATAATTTTGATCAGGAGTCTGAAAGCCTTTTCTGGAAAGGACTAGGTAGTAAATATTTCACTTTGCAAGCCTTACAGCTAGTCAACACTACCATCATAGAGTGAAGGCAGCTGCCACAGTGTACACACAGTGAGTGTGGGTGTGTTCCAGTAAAACTTCAGTTATAACAATTTGAATATAATAAAAATTTCAAGTGTCACACAAAAAAACCCTGTGATTACACACACACACACACACACACACACACACACACACACACACCCGAGTGCTTTAAACTAGAAGAGACATCTTCAGTAACATCTGGCTGCATTCCATCTTTTTCCTACAGCTCATTCGGGGGAGACCTGAGGCTGGGGAGACTAAGAGGGAAGCCAGCTTTCAGGGTAAAGGGTTAGAGCAGGAAAGGCAGGTCATTCAGGTCCTTCTCCACACCAGTGCCCTCAGACTGACTTTTTAAAAACAATGTTCAGGACCGTTTATTCAGTTCCCAACTCAGCTGTTGGCTATGTGGGTTTTGTGTAGTTTACCTAACACTGTTTGTCTACATTTTATTGTTTGTAAAATGGTAACAAGGCATAAATTGCCAAAGTAGGAAATAAGTTAACATATTTGAAGTGCCTGGCATACTGTAATGACTTAGTAACTAGAGTTTCTAATGTTTTTCCTATTACTCACATTTCAAATCTTTGTACAGTAATGTTAAGGTGTGTGTGTGTGTGTGTGTAAGATTAGTAATTCTGGGCTCCACTTTCGAAATTTGTATGTTTTTTTACAATGTCTCTACTTGATAGCTTAGAATCATTTAACATAGCCTTGTTTCGTAGTCTGTTCTCTTCATCACAATGTCTTAGAAAATAGATTGATTTGTGTACTTGAATTAATCTACAGTCATAGTAGCATTTGAAACCACTGCAGAAAGTTTCAGTTAAGTTGTTTTGATGGTCCAGCATTCTTTCTTGTTGTTGTTTGTTTGTTTGTTTGTTTGTTTTGAGACAAGGTCTCTCTGTGTTGTTTAGGTACCTGTCCTGGATCTTGCTGTGTAGACCAGGCTGGCCTCAAACTCACAGAGATCTGCCTTGCTCTGCTGGGATTAAAGGCCTGTGCCACCACTGCTGGCCTCTAGCATTTTTCTTAACAAAGAGTGAATATGCTGAGATATAAAAAGTAACCAGTAAAGAGTAAAATACCAGAACTAAAACCCAGAAACCACCACAAGGCATTTAAAAAAATCAAAATTATAAATAATCTATAAGCACAGAAAAATGTTCAAGGTCAGTGGTAGTGAAACCATGGACTAGGGTTCTGGAAGCCGTTCAGGTAGCTGCGAGCACCAGTAAGCTTTTCTTGAGATTCTTGTCAGAAAATATTTGACTATAGATGGACAGATACTTTCTATGGACTTTCTTTTGTCTTGCATTGTTCCATAGTTCTGACTTTGTGCCAGGATCATGTGGCTTTCTTTGTAGTGGACTTATAGTTTGTTTTATAATTGGCCTGCTTTATATATCTGAGATCCTTTGAGATTGCATATGAATCTTATGATACATTTTTCTGGTTTTGCACAGACATATCATTGAAGCTTTGATAGAATTGCATTGATCACTTTAGGTATGACTGACATCTTTTTTGTAGTTATTTCTTTTAAGTTTCCCTGCATGTGTATGCTGCATATTGAGACCCTTTCCCATCCCTTTCCCTCTTCTTTTTTTCTCCACAATTTCATTTCTACTTTCATATCATATATACATACAAGACTTTGTGTATATATAAAATCTCTATAAAATCTCAGAACCACAAATGAGAGAAAACATAATTTATCTTTCTGAAATAGACATAACAATTGACATATCTGTTTTCCTGCAAACAACATGACTTCTTTCTGCATGATCTTGAAGGCTGATGATGCTTTCTGCTATGTTATGTTTTTGTTGTTGTTTTGTTTATTTGTTTGTTTGTTTGGTTGGTTGATTCATTTCGAGAATTTCTGTCTGGCGCTTTTTCCGTGTCTGAATTTCTTTATGGGATTTTTCACTGATGTTTTAACATTTTTCTCCCAAGTTACTGATTCTTTCATCTTCTTTAGTAGTTTTCTTATCTAGGTCCTCAATTAATTTCATGCCTTTCTTCTTTAGGTTTCAGATTGGTTCCTTATTGTTCTTTTGAGTCCTCTCTCTGTTCACTGATCCTCTTGAGTGTGGAGGACTCCAGCTTCTTTGTCTGGCACTTCAGCTCTCTTCCCACATCTCTTCTCCATTTTCGAGACGTTGTCAGCCTAGGAGGGTCTCTTTGGAATGCTGGCTCATGTTTTTCTCTTCCTTTGTTGGGTTTTGCATATCTGTTGGAATGTGTGTGTTCTCCAATTTGTAGTGCCCCCCCCATACTCCTTTTCTCCCAATTTTTTGTTTTATTTCACATGAATCTTGATGGATTGTCTTTGCTTACGTTTATGATCACAAGGAAAGCCACCTGCAGTAATACTGTAACAGCTACAGTGGTTTCACAGCACCCTCC